TACAAAGAACTGAGACGTATTGCTTTGTCATTCACCAAATATTTCCTCTTGTTCAACACCGAAGATTATGGGTTGGTCGACAATCTTATCGCGAAATACAACAATGTGTGCATTCGATGAACGAAGATAAAATGCCCGTTGTTCTTAAGACTGAACAAACACCATTCAGAATCAAACTTTCGATTCTGACATAAACAAGACCTAACATAATTTATATCTGAGTCCTGACCAAATAGTCGCGTTTGGGGGGTGATCTGCCCCAAAGGACAAAATGTTCTATTACTTCAATTAGTTCAAGCTCTACGACACGTAGCTTCATTGCACGTACGGTACTCCATCTAAAAGTTATAAAGAAGACCAGTTCCCAGATTGAGAATGTTTGGTGTTAGTTTTGTAAAATCAGTCAGTGTGTCCCTTTACACATGTGTTCCACTAAAAGTGCTTACACTAAAAGAACGGTTTGGAGGGGGAAGACCGTCTTAGGGGATAAGCGCGTGTGACAGCTAGGCCTATTGTGCTATAGGCTAAAAAGTTATGCTATATCACTGTTGCCTACCCGGAATTGAAGCACACTGATGCCGAGACAGCGTTCCCACTGCCTGCCGGAAGGACTCCAATGTTGGGTAGATATGGAAGATCGGTTCTGGAGAAGAGACCATTGACAATCTCCTGTACTAAACCATCACCGGAAACAGTAACGAGAGCCTTGTACTTGAGGAGTTCTTCCTTCGATAACTGAGTCACCAATTCTCGAGTATGTCCAGTGTGCTCTGGAAACAGGCGGAGATTAAGAGTCAGAAAACGAAGATTATGCTGTTGTAGTAGTAATGGTGGTGGTAGCACCTTGTTTTAAAAGCAGACCAATATTTAGCTTCAGCGGCAAATATTTGAGATAGTCCATCATCTTCTACTGGTCTATCCCACAAAACGGACATTCATGTTATCAAGAAAGTATGCGTTATATTAAATTACGCCCACAATCAAAAGTAGAAAAGATTTAACCTTCAACGCAAAGCCTATTGGGTCATAACTAATTTGAACGATCGACTTTACCTTAAAAATGTACAAATTTCTGAAGTGAGTCAAGTAACAGTTTCGAACATCGAGGTTTGCGATGGGATTGTGGTGGTATGCTTAAGCTCTGATTTTGCTATGCCACGTCCGATTCCACCTCCAGTCGCCTTGACTGTCTTGACACCGGGCGCGGGCGAGTGAGAGAGAAGAGAGAGTGCGGTATATGCAAAGGAAGTCTCCTAACACTTTAAACAAATCCACGAGTAAACCGCCGTCTCTGTATCGCCACGCTGTGGAGCACATGGCGGACACCGTTGTAATCGGTAATCGTATTGTCGAGAGATGCACATGTGCGTGGAAGGCGTCTGACAGAGACCCGTGTTCCTTCAACTACTGTTTCCAATATCCTCAGAAGTGAACCAACGGCCTCGCACAGAGCACTATTTTTTATGAATGACACAGACACCTAAAAATGTTTTCTTAATGGTTACCAAGCGTACTCCTGAGTTTAGTAGATTTGACGCACTTGAAATCACTAAAGGCGCCAACAGTTGAGATTTCGAAGTTTTCCAGCTAACGAAATAACTCGGGTCTTCTTTGAAACGAGGCCTAAACTGCATTGGTTCCATTTTTATGCCACTTCTATAGCACTCTCATTCAAGTAAGATCAGAGACCTCGTCAATGAAGCTATGTAAGTGGAGGTTAGAACCAGATCATGTGTGATATGCGTAGGAAGAACGTCCAGATTTCTCTATCATTGAGCCCACAATCATTTCAAGTCGTCATGACTTTGCCTTTTCCTCCGAAGACTTAGGATGTACAAAGAAGGGCGTAGATGCGACCTATCCGTGCCCAACTGACAGATGAACTACCTTAGTCTGCATCGAAAACACACATGCCGAAGGAAACCAACATTAAACTTTAACGGGAGAAGTACTTGGCCTTTTAATTTCGCATGCCAATTAAACGATGCCGGTAGAACAGGTTGAAGCTAACTTTATTTCTTTTCAGAATATAACTATGGGGCTTTTTAAGGCTGTCGAGGCAAAGGGCATGTCAACGAAGAAAAGAAGCATTGCTTACCCGTTTCCCAGGTCTGAAACCGAATATTGGCCAGTTGGAACAGGGGTGTGATATTCGAGGACGCGATCTGCTTTGCTTTACCCTGTCCACCTTTTGGATTGATAATAAGCAGGATGGGCAGTTCACTGGCTGAAAAATAACAAATATGGTATTTCGCTCAGAAGTTGGCACTCGCTCAATACTTTAAGTTACTGACGAGGGGGTGATGTAGAAGGATAGAACAGCATATCTAAAAGCATGGCTATGCCCTGCCGACAAGTCAGGCGTCAACAACTTTGGTCAAATAAAGGTCACTGTGTGTGCGGTGGATACAGATGAAAGAGTAAATAAACGCATATTAGAAAGATGGTGCTTCTTACTAGGTTCCGTGCAGCAATAAGCCCTGCAGTTACACGGGCCAGAAAACAAAA